ACTTAATAAAAGCAAAGAATGTATAAAATCAGAACTAGATGATGAGATGTTTCTAATCATTCCTGTAAGTAGAATCTTCAATAATTTTTCAAAAGTAACTTTTTCTTGTGGCAATTTTTGTAGTAATCAGGAAACACTGAAGAGTTTAAGTGTGCATTATTAATGTATTCAAGTCACTTTGTACATGTAATGCTTTCTTACTTCTCTGCAGCTTACACATATAACTCTTAAAGTTCATAATTTGTTCTCCAAATCCATGATATGAAAGAATGAAACAAATTTAACAGAAAGGCATTGTGATGCCTCTAATGTTTGCAAAAACAGTTATCTGGGAAAACCATAAATAATTGTACTACTTGTGTGAAAGAGGCTGGGTTGCTTTTGTTTGTTTGTTTTAAAAATTGCAAGTTTACAAAGGGGATATGACATAAAAACCTTGAAAGGGCAAAATCAAAACCTCTTACCTGCTGTGAAAACAAAATAGAAATTTCTAATAGCATGTTATGACATGGTCGAGTGGGACACCTAGAGGCCATATGTTTAGGATTCCTAAAGAATTCCTAACTTCAGCTGCAAGTTTGCACAGAACATGCAATTTTGGGCTTAAAAGACTGGAGCGGGCATATTTTGAAAAATTAACATAATTTTTTTTTTTTGATTTTTCATGTTTAGCATATTTTTGTGGCTTCCCTGACGAGGATCCCTAGCATTGATATCAACAAAAATAACAGACTGCTTCCAAATCTGGTAAAGAGTTCTTAATGCTGTGCAGCAAAGATTAAAAGAGCCCTGTGCAGCTTATTCCAGCCTAAAGTATCAGTATCTAACAAAATTCATGCAGGTCCCATCTGAAGAGAAATATTACAATAAGCTTGTGACCCTAGTAAAATATCTTCATAGATGTCAGGCTCTTACACAATGCAGAACTAGAATTTATGCCTGTTAATTTGTCAGGGAATGAAGAGAACAAAAGCTTCTTTTAACTGTTACGTGAATTATCTAGATAGTGGATATTACAAGGAAATATACACATAAACACACTGCACTTTCCTAACTTCTCAAAAGTTAGAGGGGAACCCTGTCACTGCATCCCATGAAATGGATATATCCAAGGGCATCCTACCTCATATGGTAGCAGAACCAGATCAGCATGTTACAGATTTAGAATACTTAACAGAAATGTTTGTTACTCTATTTTCCATTGGGTATTGGCTATAATAAACTCTTTGTAACTGTAGAGCTAAATGAGTAGGCGATAGGTGACTTAGTTTTTTTTGGCAATATTTGTTATTTTTGTACCTAAGAGAGGGGGAAAGGTCTTGGAGATCAATCAAAACTAGCACAGTTCAGATGAAGATGACTTTCACTTTTCTACACAAGAAATAAAACATTTTTCACTCTATAGAATTTGGACTATTCTAGTACTCATTCTGGAGGTTTTTTGTACTAGTCTGGTACTCATGCAGCAGAGATGGTTTAGTGGGGTGCAGTTGTAGAGTTTGTGAAACATCTTCTATAGATCTGCAAAAATTGTCTGAAACTTCTCTAAAGGTTTCTGGCTTGACCAGTCTGAAATTGAAGGCAGAACAGAGTGATGCTAAGCATTGCTCTCTGTTGTGTATTGCTTACTCTAGCAACAAATGTGTGTATCTATTTAGTAATCTTTGCATGCTTTTTGGTCTTACTATGTGTAGAAGTATAACATCAACAGGATATAAGGTAATATGATCCTGACGCTTTGATTCATGGCTTTTCATAAAGAGAAGGGTGTTAGCATGGGACTGCTTGGTAGCAGAGGAATACTGCCAGCTTGATTCTATATTGAAATATGGATCTTATAATTTCCCTCTCCAAAAAGGTGTTTCATGCTTACTTGTCATCCTCTAACTCTTTAATGCTAGGAAATGTGAACAAAGTTATTCCACTGTTTCATGACTAACACTTTGTCATTTTGATAAAGGTCTTTGAGGTTAGTCATACTTTTTGAATAAAAATGAAAAGCTGCTAAGTTGTCAATGATTTGTTTGAGTAGCTTACAGACTTCTTGTAGCTGTTGTGCCTCAAATAAAACAGTAGGATTTTTTAGGTTGGAAACAATGTTTAAGATAATGGAGTTCAGCCACTGACCTATCTCTGCCTAGTCCACCACTAAACCATTCCCCCAAGTGCCATCTCTGCATCTAAATGTATAATTGTATCTCTTGGGGTTCACATGTTGGTGCTATAAGGAGCAACAATTGCACTATTAAGTTTGTGATATGCATACTAATGTCAATTGTAGTTTACTTCTGTGCTTTATCTAGAGCCTTCTTCTCAGAAGTACTTAACCATTTATTTGAGAATGTCTAAGCCATAAACAAGCAATCAATTATGATTGTTAAGTATATATTAGAAGATTGCCAGTAGATTGGAAATAGTGCATTGTTTATTGGAGGGAGGTCCCATGTTCACTGATACACTGGAAATGGCTAACAACAGCATTCCCAGAAAGGCATGCTGACAGTCACTGAAACTTAAAATCAGGATATATTCCCTCTTGTTTGAGAAGTCTAATTCCTGCAGTTAGTTATTCATGGTGTTTGTGTCTTCAGGCACCAGCCTACTCTTTGGCCTGGGGAATCACTGGCCTTTCCCTGTCCCGAGCAATAGATGAGTGCATGTACGGCATAGGTGACTGAGTGGGTCCCAAAACCAGCTCTTTAGAAATCCCTTTTTTTTTTTCTAGACACATAAATACTTTTGCGTAATAAATATTCCTTCCATTTTGTCTCTGTAACATATTTCTGAACAGTTTTAATTCATTATATCTTATGACAAAAAAAAAAAGGAATTATTGTTTTGTGGTTCATTGATTTTGTGACTGATAAAATAGTAAAACCATATAGAGTGAAAATATTTCACTTTGATAATCTATATTTTAGTGGGTTTTAAGTAAGCAGTTCTATAGTTGCATACATACAAGAAAATATTTGAGTGTTTGTGTACATGTGCTTACCCTCTCTCATGATGCTGCTTTGTTCTGCTGTCAAAACCCACTTTGATTCATTGTGCCAACTACATGGATGATCTGTTCCCTGATGATGTTTCCAGATGATCTGAGTCACGTACAAAATATTCTCAGAGGCTTTCTTTATACATTCATTAAAAATTCTGGGTAGCATCCATTGTATTTAATAACTCTGAAAAGGGTGCCTTTTCCCCTAGTCTCTCTATAAACTTGAGACTTCCTCTTGTGCATAGCTCTGGCTAAAAAGCCAATGTTTACTCTTAATCTTTCAAAGGAATATATAAGCTGCATATGTTTTAAGTATGCAAGTCAATACAGCTATTGTCATAGATTTCCTAAGGCTCTTGAAACTTCTTTAAACCCTTCGATTCTTAATCCTGTTTTTCATAAATTGTGAAGATGGCATTATTTTTATTATGTCAAATATTCTCAAGTCCCTCTGCACAGCCTGTTAAATAATGTGTGTGTGATTAACTTAAATGCAGATGTAGCTTTAAAATTGATGTAAATCAATGAACTCAGAAAAAATTTTGGTTCATATCAGTGTTCTCTCTAGTACAAGGCAAAGGCTAAAGAGGAAATTGTACTTTCTAAAGCGAATACAGCATGGTGTAGAAGTAAATAAAATGTATCTCCTGAAGTGCTTTTAGCTGAGGGTACAAGTTCTGGATCAGGATGCTATAAATTTGTTAAGATCATGGCTTTTTATGTATCCCTTATCAACCTATAATCTCCTGATTGTTGCCTGTTTTTCAACAGCTGAGGAACAGTAATCCACACTTGCTTATCTCTCTTAATCACAGCCTCATGGTGCTATAGCTCCCTGAGCCTTTAATTCCCTCTTAGAGGCGTAACAGAGTGGAAAGTAAACAAAGACGAATTTGCAACCTTCAACATTGCTAATTTGCTCTGATGTCAGAATATTTAAATAGGCAAGGACTTGGGAATTATTTGATCACAACTGATTTTAATCTAATGCATGTGAAAAGGCTGAGTCTGGGAAGGTTGTGCAAAATGACAGGCGTCCCAAGAGAGGTTGACTGAAGGTTTCTTCTTTAAACAACAATAGCTCCATCATTTTTCAGCTCTGGATCCTGTGCTCCTACTGTGTATTTTTGTTTGCATTTTTAATGTAACTTTCTGAATATGATACTGGTTTTCTTGAAAATTCCTCATTTTCTTCCCAGTTTATAGGTGTCAGAAGCCCAATCTTTAGGCTTGTTATAGTGTCTGCTCACTGCTTAGTGGGTGGGAGAGATAAAGATCCCTATTTAAAAAGCTTTGTCTCTCTCCACGTTTTTGTACCATCTTGACAGCCTAATGTATCCTGAATACTTTCATATGTAAAATGATTGATAACTTGATCTTCAAGTTATTTTAAATTACGCAGTTCACGTTTATGCATGTGTGTATGTGTACATACTTGCTGGATAAGGAAGGATGTTATCTTGTGTTATATATTATGTGCACACTTCATCTACCACGGAGGTGATGGGCTTACACATACATATACATTATCACACACACATATTCATCTTTCCTCAGAGCAGATAGCTGTATGCCATTACCTGAAATAGCTTTGATAAATATATGCAAGACAAGGTAGTGTTTTTAATTTTTTTTCTATATTTTCTTCAATTTCCCTTCATATGGTCCTAATTGTCTGTTCAATGCATGTGTAATCACTTATTTTTTTGTTGTTTACAAAATGGTTAATGCAGCATATATAGTATTACCAGGACAAATGTCTGATGCTCTCTTAATTGTTATATATTGTTCTGTTTATACCTGTTCTGGTTGAATGACTTGTGTTTCTGAAGCGTGTCTGATGATGATTTCTTCTTTTCTTCTTAGTGTGTATCATTTGGGATATTCCAGGGAGAGACGTGTCTGGGAAGCCAGCCTTTTGCAGTCACTCTGCACTGAGATTACAGCGCTGGGCTATTTGTGTTTCTCCTCATCCCTGTTTCTCTCTGTCTCTCACTCTCTCCAGCTGGTGTAAATGACTGCTGCTGCCTCCCAGAGCAAGATAACCTGCTCAGTCAGCTGGAGCCCCCTGCGGACAGCTGTCTCGCTTTTAGCTGATGGAAAACTGCTATAACCGCTGAATGGAAGAGCGTGGAGCAGCGACCATACCAGCACGAGGAGCTGCTGCTGCGGCAGCCAGAGCCAGCGAGGACTCTATTGTTCCCTGGTGTTAAACAGTTTTTCCTTTCCAACTGCCATGCACAACGGCGGGAGAGAGGTTTGCAGTCCCTTTCTCCCCGTGAAGAGATTCTGAAGAAGGGAGGATCGTCTGAGAAAGGTTTCGCGGTGGTGCTGCGGGTTTTGGACGCAGCAGCAGGCTGCTGGAGGCATGGGGCTGAGCGAGGGGAGCGCTTCTCTCTGCCGTGGTCCAGGGGTTTGTGCCGTGCCCGCTCGGTGCGTGGGAGTTCTCGTGCTTCTGCTGCTGCTGGCAATCTGGGACGCTCGTGCACAAAGTGAATTTCAAACTTCATCCGTGTATTTGTGGAAGACTGGTAAGTCACGGTGCTGTGATAACGCAACAGCAGTGTGTTGAGTTTTTGTTGTAAGTAATAACCTTTTTGTGTGCTTTGTGTATGTGGAGGGAGAAAGTTAATCTAAATAACTAACGTTTACTGGCAGGCTTATAGGGGAAAAATAGGTCATCTTACAGGATTCCACCATCCAGGCAAATATTGCAATTAAAAAACTCCACATTTGTGAGTCTGTGGCACTGTTACTGGGATCTCTTATATATTTTCTGTCTTCTGAGGTTTTAAATTCTGTTTAGCAGCTCTGTGTTGCACATAAAGGTCAGAGCGTTAGTGCGTGTTGTCAATGAGAAGGAACATTTATTACAACTGGAGTCAGCATTGTTAAAAGTGATCTAAACATACTGAATTTTCACAAAGAAAGATGTGATTCAGCACATCTAATCTTTGTGTCCTGTGCTGACATGTAATATATTCAGTGTGGTAATTGATGGGGAGTTGGGTTTGTTAAATTTAGGTTTATTCCATGGTATATAGGACACGTGAAAGCTAATGATGGATTAGGTGAAATAATCCAAGTGATGCAAGATCTCATAACCAAAGAGCCAAAGGCAAATAGGCTATGTGGATTCAGCACCACAGTAGATGGATAATTTCCCCTACTTTGATCCTAATGAGTTACGTGTCTGTTTTAAAGATTGCATAGTCATAACAGTGTTTCAACCTTAACTCTGCATTAAAAATCAGTGGGGAATTTTCCTGTGTCTATTAATATAGTACATTAATTTAGGACTTAAGCAGTGATGAATATGTGCATTTTAGCTGTCTTGATACAGTTGTAGTTCCTGTAAGTAGAATCAAACTCTCATTTAGGAAATTAAAAAATTTCTGACTGGGAAATATTTCACATTGACTTTGGCAGTTAGCTTCCTTTCCTGTATGTTTCCAGGAAAAAAAAACAACCCAAAAAGTAGATTTGTTTAAAAAGTGATTTTTCATTAAAGGATAATACAATAATAAGAGATTGCAAATTAATAATTTGTCTGAAAAATAACTTTGAGAAGACAGTCTCTTTCCTAGATGGAGGAACACTCCTTTCTGCCACAGAAGCAGATCAATTTACAATTACAGTGATATCCTGAATTTTTTAAGAGGCTCCATCTATCCAGCAGCTCAGAGAGGAGATTAAAAGGAAATTCATTTAAACAAGAAGACAAGCTTTCCAATAACACTAGAAAGAGAAATCTGAAGAAGGGAAAATCCTTTGCAACTTTCACTTCAGACTGCAAGATGGGTTACACAGTGACAGTGACATTTTTTTCCTTTTAAACTGTTGAAGAATTAAAAACAATTTACAGTTCCATTACAGATATGTAAATGTTCAACACACACTTAAGAAGAGATGATGTATGTGCACAGGTTTATGGAAAAGCACAGTAACAATATAACATTTTCATAAAGCATTTCGCATTTACCCTAAGTTGCTAGGCATCAGCAGAAGAAACTCTTCAGCGTTTTATTATGTCCCCATTTAACAGTGTAATGGATTGTAGTTAAAAATGTTAAAACAGTAACATAATTTGAGGATTATAATAATTCTAGTGGACTACTACTTAAGAACACGTGCAATCAGTTTGCTATGGACTTAACTCCACTTACTTTGCACATTGTACATGTGCTCTGAAGTCATGTCAGCTAAACCAGCACCAAGGAAACTGTCTTGGCTTTTGTCTTCTTCCCTTTTCTCCCTTCCTGGCAAAGACTGCTCCTAAGAAACTTTTGTGTAAGACAGGTATGATCCAATTACTTTGCCTGATGAAGAGCTAGCTCTTCCCTTCATCTTTTCTTCTGTGACATCTCTCGCCTGTTTTGCCTACAGTAAGAAATATTGCAGCCATGACATCAGTGATGAAATGGAAACATGATGAAAAGCAAGTAATGAAAAACAAGAGTGGCTCTTTTCAGATGATGAAAGGCAAGATGCAGTGAATAAGACACTGCATCTGTGTTTGGCTCCAAATTAAATTTTTGCACTCTTTTTTTTAGCTGTGTATTGAATTCTTTTGTTTTCCCCCCTCCAGTCGTGGGAGGATCTAGAAAGTGAACTGGAAGAATTGCTGGCCAGTGGTCTGAAGTGACATGTAGTGCAGAGTTCAGCTGAAGTATCAGAGAGAAAAGCAAAACTGAACAGTAGTGAGCTCATGCACTTCAGATGATATTTTTCTTCTTCTGTGAATGAGAGAGGTCAGGAGAATGTGGGTGAGACTTTGTCAAGGCAATTAGCTAGATTATAGGCCTTTTGGGACCTCTTATGTCCATTTTTTGAGAGCCATGCTATTTTTGTATAGAATTTAGTCTGTCATCAGCTTTTCTAAGTGCTGTTCATGACTTGCATCTGTCTTGTTTTTATTTCTAAAGGTTTTTGAAATAATGTCTACTCTGTGTCTTCTATACTGCTTTACTGCATTGTGTTTTCTTAAGGGTGCCCTTGACAATAATCTGCAATGATTATGAGGTTTGAGTTGAGACATGCTTTATATAATAATAGTTTCATTTTTTAGTTTTCTTATGTTTATGGGGTTTGAAGGGGTTTTGTGTTTTTTTTGTTGTTGTTTTGTTGGAAAGAGGGGAGGAGTGTTCTAATTCAAATTTCAAGTGTTTGCTTTCAATCTATGAAAAGCTCTCAGAGGACCTGATTTCCTGTTTACTGCCATCCTCCTGTCTACTACCATAAAAATCTGAGGTTATTGCAATATTCAGTTTAACCATTTGGGGGTTTAGTTATCTTTGATTCAACACATAGAATGTTGTGAATAATCTGCTCTGAGCGGGGAGGTTGAGCTAAAAGTTATCTCCAGAGGTCCCTTCTAATCTCCACCCCTCCTGTGATATGGGTGCCATCACTGAGTCATTTTTACTACTCCAGCTGAAACTGCTTTGAAATTTTGACTTTTGTTATTTTTTTTGATCTCTTGAGAGAATGGTTATTTGGTGTTCTGGTGTGTTTAATGGACCTTCAGAGTTTTGAATGGCATTTAAATGAGCACAGCTGATTATAGCTACAAGTGATTAAAACTAGGTTTCTCACCAAACTTTCTCATTCCATTCTGTGTAGACCTGGTGTATGCATTTTATTTAGTTACAAACACACAGCTGCTTCATTTTGTGTGGTCACTGGGAAAGCCATCTTGGTTTTTTTAACATAAACTAAAGCCAAGTGATGAAACAGCAAGATTCCCAGAGTTGAGTCATGGTGCGTATTTGCTTGATGGTCTGAGCTAGACGACAGGAGCTTTTAGCCACTCATGGAAGAGAAGTTCTGAAACTGGAGACTGGTGATTATATTGGTGTGGGGCTGACACAGATTGCCAAGTGTTGAACTATTTATGTTGAAAAGATGTTTAATGACATGTTTTGTTCATTAATAATTTCCTTTCTCTGATTTAACTGATTTCATTTGAAATGACCAGTTGTTTGCTTCAGATTCTACTCTGCTTCATTAGGCCTCTGTGAGTCTCTCAAATGCCATTTTGATTCTGCCTTAACTTTTATGATTTGCTTTAGAATTTTGCTGGATATTATTGAATTTAATCTGAAGAGGAGTTGTCAAGAAGGGAACCAGGCTCTTAGTGTTGCCAAGCAATAAAACAAGAGGCAATGAGCAGAAACTGATGCACAGGGAGTTCCACCTGAATACGAGGAGGAACTTCTTTACTGTGCCGGTGACCTTACACTGGAACAGACTGTCCAGAAGGGCTGTGAAGTCTCCCTCACTGGATATATTCAAGAACTATCTGGATGCAATCCTGTTCTGTGTGCTCTGGGATGACCCTGTTTAGGTAGGGAGGTTGGACCAGATGACCCACTGTGGTCCCTTCCAGCCTAACCCATTCTGCGATTTTCATATTCAAAGACACCTTATGATCTGGTGATACTGCCCACCATGGGCTAAGATGTTGATGTATCTGTAAGGTTTGCAGTGAACCATGTGATGACTGCTGATTCCTAAATGAAGGCACCCATTTTTCACTTTTTTCCCTTTACGTGAAGATGCATATTTTTCTTACTCTGTCATGTCATCATGCAGGACATATATTTACCATTCCTTTACACAACTGACTAAGCATAGATGCTGCTTGCCCCATCAGAAGTCTCTTTTACTTCTTTCTACCCTCTCCTTCATATGTTTTTGTTAAATGAATTCACGTGCTGATCTGTGATGCGCTGTCAATGTTGGGTGAAATGCCTTCCTACAGTTACTAAGATATATATATATATATAAAATATATATTATATGGTGATTAATTACTGAAGAATGCACAAAATCAGCAAGGTTTGATCATATTAAAATTGCATCTTCCAACAGCTTGAAGTCGTGCATATAACACCTTTGAAGTGGAAGATGCAGCATTGGATTAGTATCTCTGTAACAAAAGCAGTCATAACACAAAAATACAGGAGGCATTGCCTTTTTCATTGTTATTTGTTTTAAAGATGTGATCGGATCTCAGTACAGATAGATGTAGCTCTACAGATTTATTTGAGATATTTGCAACTGTTGATACTAAGACTTGGTTATTGGTATAACAATTGCAGTTGGACATTTTCCCTTGATTTTAACAAGGGTAGAACTTGAAATGGGCTTTCTGTGGATAACAGTGCTGTTTTAAAATTAAAGTGGAAGGAGGAAAAAGGCATTGTTTCTAAACAGAACAATTAAGTATCCATTTTTTCCTGCTTATGTTGTGTCTTCTAGATGAGAATTGGAGTTTAGATAGTATGACAGTAGTTGTCACAGGGTGAAAAGTAGAATTTTGTAGAATTTTACTGTGGGGGTCTAAAGCACAAGATGGGGAAATCTGGGTGGTGTTCTGTCCTTCTTCCTAGCCACCATTTTGTTGGTGATGGTGACACGTTAGAAGTAGTTTAGACTAAAAAAATCACTGTCTAACCTAGGTAATAAGTATTGAGACACAACTGTAAATATTGAATACGTAAGTTATCGTGTAAAAAACAACACCAGC